GATAATTTATATGCCTCATTTGCATTTTCTACACCAAAATATAAGTTATCCACATATACTGATGTATTGAACATGCGTACTGAATCAGGATTAATTGTCTCCATACTTCCAAATGTGGGTTTTAATAGTACTAGTTAGTATACAAGGTGAAATTTTGCAACCAAACGGCAACCTATTCATATCCATAATTTTATATTCAGCATTTTCCTTATTGAAAAGTCAAAGAAATTTCAGAAATTTATGATCCTCTTCAGCAGTTTTTATCATTAGAAATGCTTTTTTGATATCCCCATTACATACAATTTTAAGTTTTTTGAAATTCAATAATACATCTAGTACATTAGAATTTAAATTTGAACAAGTTTCTAAAACAATCATTCAATGACACAGCTTTCTTAGTTTTCGAACTACAATTTTATACAACACGAACATTCATAGTATCCTTGTTTCTATTTACAACTTCTCGATGTGGCATAAAATATTCATTACAATCCCTCTCACATTCTTCGATAATTCCTTTACGCTCTCAGTAGCAAATTATTTGCTTATACTCTTTCACAATCCACTTATTTTTTCAAAACACTTTTTTAAATCATCAAACCATATTGTAGGTATGGAAAAATTATTTTCTAATTCTGAAGGCAATGTTTCCCATAACAATTTAATTTCATATTGACCATCAATAAATCTCAGATCATTTTTGAACTGCTCAATTAAACACTTGTCAGTAATAGATAATTAATCCCTATCTCTTATGCCTAAGCCTTCCCATAACACTTGAACTCTGTTCCTATACTCAAGTTAGAAGATACTATTACACAACTAGATTTATTGCATGTCTGCTGAATTCCCTGCAGAGTAAAACCAAAAATTGTCAGTATGCAATTAAGGGTTTTACTCATTTTCCAAAACCCAGAACCCTCAAAAGTATTCCAAAACATGTCTCCTCTAATTAATATGGCTATCGACAGATCATCATTTTTACATTTATCAGCTAAAATACCCTAGCTTTTCAAAATACTCTGTATTTTATCTTCTGGAGTAGCAATGGTGTAGCAATAATTGTATTAGTAATTAATGCCTCAATTTCAATAAATTTATCTGAACTATATCTTCTCGTTAATTTTATTTTAACTACATCATATAACTTTTCAGTTGCTTTTGATGAACCAAAAGAATAAACTGATAATCTTTCCTTTATTATAGGCTTTAATTTTAAGGAATTGGCTAAAAGTTTGTTGCACCAAGAATGTTCAGATCAATTATCTAAAAAATATGTGCAGTTTTTGAAATGTTTGACTGATTTACTGAACTGGTAATAACTGAGAATGTCAACAATATACTGGTTTTTGATATTGTTGAATTACAATACATAATGACCGCATTGTTTTCTGACTTGCTTACATTGCATCAACTGGCCTTTGCTTTTCAGCTTTACTTCGATCATTTTCATTATACAATAGATAATTATGGAATTTACTTTTGCAATACTTACATTCAAATTTTAATCTACACATACAGATGGAGGACAAAATAATGCGAACACCTCTGAAAAAGTATGACATATTTCACACCTGCAGTACAGCCGCGCCACCTGCAACAGAAGTCTGCCACCTAGTGAACGTGAAGAGGAAGATATCAGTCTCTCAACGGCAGTCACCTGCGTTGCATGCTTCGATCGAACTGTCTGTGAGAAGTTGAAATGTCAGACCTGTCAGAATTCCAAAGAGGAATGATAGTTGGAGCGCATTTATGTGCAGCATCGGTTACGAAAACAGCACACCTATATTTAAAAGTCTGGCTTTTTGTCCTTCAATTTTATCGAAAATTTTTCTCAAACTAACTATGTCTTGCGAATTATGAACAGCAGGAATTTTCAATAAATTCAGCTGTAGAGTCATATCTTTTCAGATGATATAGGAGTAACATTGGCTCCTATATTGATTGTCATACTGAAACGAAACGCAATGATATATCTCGTGATTACTTCCGCCACTCACAGCAGGAATTTGAAATGCTTTAATTTGAGGCTTTTCAATATCTGGCAACCTCTGCTAAGCAAGGTGGCTATTACTTTGTTTCCTGCCTCCAACTCTGGAATGCTAAGCTCCATAGCAAGCTGAGAAGCATTGAACCTAGAGTAGAATATTGCAAGGCTAATTCAAGAGGTAGTCCTTTTAACTCATCCCAAAATTGGCCATGCTTGAATGACACATCATTACCTTTTAAAACAGAGAGTGAGCCTGCTTGTTATAGACATTCTATTCGTTAGTGTGTCATATTTTAGTAGAGTGCCCTTATTTTAATACATTTTATGAGAACTATTTTAAGTTCTAAGGTAACTCTTGAACATCTATGGGACAAGACTTTAATTCTAATATATCTCTATATTTAAAAGAGTCTGGCTTTTAATATTCACTCGGAAATGGTTTTAATATTTAATATATTTTCAATGTTAATCATAGAGTTTTCACTTATTTTAATATTGGAATTCACCATGCAAATTCTTGGGTTTCTTCCTCACGCACCTTTCCTGTTACCTTGCTTTACAACGTTTATCTGATTCAGTTCTAGTTTGTTTTAACAATAGTAAATGCTCATCAACACAAATATAATTAGTCTTTTATTACACAGTATGATGTTATCTGACCATATTTTTGGCACATGATAACCTTTGAGGTTAAGCGCCCTAAACTAACTGTCATTGATTTGTTGTTCAACAGTAGAAACACTTTCATTAGTTTCTCCTACTTTATTTTTAACCGTGTCTATTCTACCTTCAACTGCACCGCTGGAATTTGTTTTCTATTATGGTAGTAATCTCTCTTTTTATTTTCTCTTGACGTGCTTCAATCTTTTCTTCAACTGACTTGATGGCTCCTTCCATCTTTTCTTGGCATGCTTTTGCCTCTTCTTTAATGGACTTGAAGGCCCTTCCATCTTTTCTATGCCTTGTTTTCATCGCTTCTGTAACAGACTTGATGCCCCCTTCCATCTTTTCTTAGAATGCAGTGAAGGCCGTCATCAGTTGTCCTATAGTTGCTCGTCCATTGCTCTTGTCCTCAGCATTCAATCCCACTTCTGACCCCAAAATTTTTACTATGCATATGGGTTTGTAGTGGACTGAACGCACACAGAACCAATAAAAGCTTGACAAAATTTGTTTAAAAAATATGCAGAAATACTCACACAGCTCTTCTCAGTATGATACAGCACAATCAGTAGTTATCACTTCAAACTAATAAGAACACTTTACAAAAAAAAAAAAAAAAAAAAAAAATACAAAGCACATCAAAACTCAAAAGCTCACAGGTTCTTGATCTCTCAGTACTTTGAAAACTAAACACTCTAAGCTAAATTGATAACTGATGCTTTCTCCAATCTTATACAGTTTTTCCCTTTCCACCAAGAAATTTTCAAAACCTTTGATTTTTTGAAATTGCTGGAAGGCATACGCAGTTACAGTTACACAAAGTTCAGACCAAAATGTCGTCAAATGATAACGAAATTTGGCTATAAAAATTAATTGCTATGGTGAGACTCCTCAGCCAGCAAGTATTTAAAAGTAATATACAGGAATCTCAGTTGTTGGAATAAAAATTCAAATTACTTGGGGAAATACTTTATGGAGGGATTTTATTTATTATCTAATTATTTATTATTCATTGGTTGGTGGCATGGAGATCAGATAATTCTGGATATCAGACATATAGATTTCAGGCTTTGCATTGTACTGTATTTTTATTCAAGTATATGTTTATTATAAATAAGACAAAGCCACTTGCAATAATTCAACAACTTCATGGGACATATTCCTTTAGACTCTCATTTCTAAAGGCACATCAGATCTTGTGCTTCATCAAAATATTTCATTGCTATGATCACTTTACAAACACAAATGCATATATATATATATATATATTAAAAAACTTTTTTATTGTGTACATACAAATATATTTAAAAAAATTACATATTAGTAGAAGTATAATTATGCTAATCATTTACACAACCACAAATTTCACTAAATACTATGAACAAAATACTGAATATTATATACAGTTAAAAGTCGTTAATTCAGACACCCATAATCCGGACTTCAAAGCTACAAACTTTCTGGACGCATGCGCGTAAGTCCTTTAGGGCTGCGAATATGCGTGTGTGCGTGCCCAAAATATGTTTACGCACGCACGTTTAATGTATAACAGACGGTATAAGGTAAGCTAAAATTATCTAACTCAGTTAATGTTGCAGATTGTGTTGTTCCTTAATCTTCGAATTGGATCCAGGCCAGCTTATTTTTTTTGCAGACTGTTAGAGCAATTTTATAAAAGTAAGCTTGAACTTTCGATTATGTCAAATAGAATTTCCGATATATATTTACTAATATGTAAACAAAGCAAAAGCATGTCTCGAAGTCCATTAAACAAAAAGTGGAATTGCTGAAAAAAAATGGATAAATGTTTATCTAACCATTCCGAAATCTGTTGATTAATTTCATGCTGCTCTGCGGCAGGGGACGCCGTGGCGCACAATGAATTGGAAGTTGATCTGTCAGCACTATCCTTATCTTCAGGGCAGATGTTTTTATTTTATTTGGCTTATAATTCCTTACTAAATGTAGTACTTCATCTCGATGTACTCCGTCTTTGATATGATTTAAATCAAATTCCTTGTCATTATAATTCGCTTCCGATAGCGAAGAAAGTAAAGTAAACAAATAAATGTAAAGCCTTTTTTTTTGTAAATTTTGATACCCTTTAGATCATAATTGTTCTTTATTTCATAAATTATGGTTTCATATTTTTAATTTTATAATTTCTGCATGGCATCTTACCAGATTTAAACTGATGATCTATAATCCGGAAAAATGGATAATCCGGAATCGCCGAAGTCCCGACGAGTCCGGATTAACGACTTTTGACTGTATAAGTATATAACTTGCTTGAATACAAATTCTTTAATAAACACTTTAGTAACAATATGGTAAATTTCCAATTTACCTTGTGGTAATTCTAGATACCCCATTCCAAGACCCACTTGATATAATACTGGACGAACTAAAATAAAAGTATCTTCAGAACTTTCAGTAGGAGGTGAAACTGAGCTTATATCTTCAATACCAAGTAACTTCAAGAAATCAGACGTTTCTTGTCCTTGAAAGAAGGTAATGATTTCTGATACATTTTTTCTTTCATTTTTGTTCATTTTTTCAGCTAATAGCCTAAATAAAGGAATAAGAAAAAGGTACAAAACATTAATTTTTGGGAAGAGATATTCATTATAAGAAATTATCAGACTCAATAAAATCATACAACATTTAGAAATAAAACTCAACAAAACAAAACTTAAGATAACTTGAAAAATAATTAAACACTTTTTTTAATTTTGGAAATGAACTGCGTTATCCTGATTCAAATAATAAAGATGTCTTTACTGCATATCACTTTATACAATAGTTATTAATATATATTTTATAAATTACTTAGTTACTGTAGAATTCTTTAGTCAATTTGTACAGCTATTTGGAATTTTTGGAGCTGGAATGATAGGTAGGTAGGCAGGTTATGGAGGACTGGAATGCCTGGTGTCTAACAGTTGTAAACAGGCATGTGTTCCACGCCCTCTTCTAACTACAGCAAAAGCTCCCTGGAGCCACATGAGGGTGCACCAGGAGATTATTGAGGTTGTCAAAGGAAAGTACCTGGCCTTACAAGGGCATTAGTAGGATTGTATTATAAATTGAAGAGGCAAGCTGTGGTGTTACAGATAGTAGGTAGTTAAATTAAAAATACAATAAATGGATGGAGTGATAAGACAATCAACTATGCTCTTGCCAGGGTTCTAAAATCAAAATGTTCCAACTACTAGCTACATGTGCCATCAGCCACAGACACTGGCCAATGAATTAGACACCTTTGACAAGTAAATCTTCTCTCCCTTAATATCGGTTTTCTGGAAACCCATATATTTTCTGAAAGCTTATGTCACAAGTAGAAAAACTGTGGAGTCTTAGGGTAAGAGGCGTTAAAGCATTTAGGAGCTATAGGACCCCCAAAGTATCATTAAAGTGTGTATAGATGGACATATTCCTGTAACGAGATCTCTATTTCTTGTATTGCATTGTCTGCTTCCGAAGTACCTGACGGTAAAGTCCTACAAAAAGGAACTGGTACCTGAAGGATGTATGGAAAAGATCCCATCTCTGGATATTCATTTCTTCAGGCATTACAAATCTCTTGTTTGTTACATAATGGCATAATCATTATTGAAACACAGGAGCACGTTTGGAATTGTGATAGTTTTCTGGCCCTGCAGACTTTTTACCGTATCAGTTCAACGCTCATCGTTTCAAGAACTTGACTAAGTATGCTTTTTATAAGGGTGGATACTTGGACGAGAAACCTGGAATGTGGGTTGCACCAATAGATTACTGCTTCGATTCATTAACAAATGATGATTGCGCAAAGTGTGAGGCTATCGCTTTTGTGAAATGTGCCCAATGTTAACTGTCATTCTGCCCGTCTCAACGGTTATTTGATGAATTACAAACTGATTGTCTCTTGTAATAGATTTTGTTTGAAGTCGATAACCAGACACATTTTCAACATCGTAACATATATTGTTTCTTTTCAACGAGTTGCTTTTGATCTCCATCTTCTTCCCATATTATTAGTTCATACAAATACGTGAAAAATGCATTTTAGTGTCATGTTTCCAACATTTTACTGATACTTTATAGGTCCTATAGCTCCTAAACGCCTGTCTTTCTGCCCCTAAGATTTCACGGTTTTTCTGCTTTCAGAAAACATATGGGTTTCCGGAAAACTGGTATCAAAGGAGACTTGTGAGATTTTCATTTGAATACATGCTAGGAATGTATGCAATTTTTTTTATGACGTGGGTTATACGTGGTTAGAATGCTAGTGTAAGTAAGGTGTAAGAGTGCTTTTCACAATGAATGAAGTAAAATGAGAAAAACGACAGATCTTTCACCATTTGAAAAAGGGCTTATTGTTGATGCCCATTTAGCAAGGGCCTTGATTTCGAAGACAGCAAATCTCACTGGGTCTCAAAAGAAGCCATTTCAAAGGTTTTCAAAAGTTGGACTCAGACACCCACAGTCTTTCTCTAGAAGATGTAACTGCGGTTAGAGCACAGTTTTCCAAGAGAGCGATCAGCGGCGTCTCCAACGAATTGTAGGGCAGAACAGGGACTCTACTGTACTTCAACTGATACAGATTATCAAACAAGGCTCTTCCCAACAGATTTAAGCTTCAACTATGCACAGGGAATTGCAGAGGATTGGAATGCATAGTCGGGTGCCTGTCAGAAAAGCCACGCATTTCTGCCCAACATGCAAGAATTCGTTGTCAGGAAAGAAGTCACTGGACATCTGAGGATTGGAAATGAGTAATGTGGTCAAATGAATCATGCTACACCTTATTTTATGCTGATGGAAGACCTCAAATTTGGTGGAAATCCCATGAAGCCATGAATCCAACTTGCCTTACTCGCACTGTGCAAGGGGACCGGTGGGAGTATCATGACATGGGGCATGTTCTACTGGCATGGAAGTGCCCGGTGTTCCTCGAGGGTAAACAAAGACATGAGACACCTAGATATACTGGCAGATCAAGTGCACCCTGCAATGTTTTATTTTTATCCTGATGGCAACGCATACTTCATGGACTTAAAGCAACTATACATCGTGCCACAAGTATTCAAAATTGGTTCACTGAAAATCAGTCTGATTTCCAACACTTTCCCCGGCCACTGCATCGCTCGGATCATAACTCCATACAACATGTGTGAGATATGGTGGAAAGATGCATCCGACAGCACTCTCCTCTTCCATCTAATTTACAAGATCTAAAAAGCTGCATAGCCGATGCAAGGTATTATCTGGACGTAAATGCACTCCAGAAGCATGTAGACTCGATTCCCAGATGAATCACAGCAGTTACCAGTGCAAAAGGTGGCCCAATAAAATATTGATCTTGGGTTTCTAATTCATTGGCCAGTGTGTGTATGAGATGAAAAATTAAAAAAGTTAAAAGAAAAAATATGTGGTAATCTAAATTTGAGCATTAACTTCAATTCCATTTTTAAATGCTTATGTAACCTAACATAATGGCAATGAAAACTTATATATACACTGAAGTGACAAAAGTCATGGGATAGCAATATGCAAATATACAGATGGCAGTAGTATCACATAGAAAATGTATAAATGCAAAGTGCTTTGGCAGGGCTTTCATTTGTGTTCAAGTTATTCACGTGAAGAGGCTTTGACGTGATTATGGCCGAACGATGAGAATTAACAGACTTTGAACGCGGAATGTTGGAGCTAGACGCTTGGGTCATTCCATTTCGGATATCGTTAGGGAATTTAACAATCCGAGATGTACAGTGTCAAGAGTGTGTCGAGGGTATCTAATTTCAGGCATAAGATCCCCCCAAGGACAGCGCAGTGGCCGACCACTGCACTTAACGACCGAGACCAGCGACGTCTGAGTAGAGTTGTCAATGTTCACAGACAAGCAACAATGCGTCAAATAACCGCAGAAATCAATGTGGGACGTACGAGGGACGTGTCCCGATAGGACAGTGCTAAATTTGTCTTCCTTGGGCTATGCCAGCAAGACCGACCGAGTGCCTTTACTGACAGCACGACATCGTCTGCAGCGACCCGTGGGCTCGTGAGCATATTGGTTGGTCCCTAAACGAATGGAAGACCGTGGCTTGGTCAGATGAGTCACGATTTCAGTTGGTAAGAACTGATGGTAGGGTTTGAGTGTGGCACAGACCCCATGAAGCCATGGACCCAAGTTTTCAACACGGCACTGTTCAAGCTAGTGGTGGTTCCATAATGGTCTGGGCTGTTTTTACATGGCATGAACTCAGTCCTCTGGTGCACTGAACTGATCATTGACTGGAAATGGATACCTTCAGCTACTTGGAGATCACTTACAGCCATTCATGGGACTTCACCTACTCAAACAACGATGGGATTTTTTTGGATGACAATGCGCCATATCACCGGGCCACAATTGTTCACGATTGGTTAGAAGAACATTCTGGACAATTCCAGCAAATGATCTGGCCACCTAGATCGCCCGACATGAATCCCATCGAACTTTATGGAGATCATCGAGAGGTCAGTTCGTCCAAAACCCTGCATCGTCACACTTTCACAATTATGGGACGTATAAGAGCACATGGCTCAATATTCCTGCAGGGGACTTCCAACGACTTGTTGAGTCCATGTCATGTCGAGTTGCTGCACTTCCCGAGCAAAAGGAGGAACGACAAAATATTAGGAGGTATCCCAGACTTATGTCACTTCAGTGTATATATATTTTGAATTTAACTAATATTCTCTATTTGTAAAAGCAAATATAATTAAAATTTTAATTAAGAAATTTAAATTGCAAAGAAATAAAAATAATTATTATTGCTGCAAACTAATATATAGATATATTCATTAATTATATTCTAACATTCTATGCACTTTTGCTGGAGAGCAAATATAAAATATCTTAAATGACAATGCTGTACTAACTCAAAAGCAAGGCCCCCTTTTACTGTTTAATTTTTATTCTAAAATTCGATTGGGTTTTACAACTGGGTATTTTGATAAATGAAATTTCAGAATGAGAGGAAGTGTTTAATTATCATATTGCACAGAAATGCTTAAATATTAACTAAATCTTATGGGTAATTACCATATGTATGTATGTATGTATGTGTGTGTGTATAAAACAAAACAATCTGTAAAGCAAACTTCTAATTTTAATTGGAAATAGCACCTTGATTTTTCATTTTAATTCGGGTATTTTCCTTTTCTGTGCTAAATATAATAACTGATCACATTAAACCTCTCAGGACTATATCATTTCAAATCAACAGCTGCCATTATATGACTTGAAAATGCTGGTGACGTAAATGTTTCTGTGAACTGGAACTCAACCAAACAATAATAATTTAAAACTTTATTAATTAGCTAATTACCATGATATGAAAATTGTTACTAGAACTGGAAATCATAATTTTTTGCCTCTTTTGATAGCAACTACACATTCTACATGCCAGCACCTTTTAAAATATCAGCCATGATTTCTAAATCATGACACACACATGCATATATTGCATAACCATCACTAATTAAATAGCCATGTCTAGCTCAGTGATTTTGATTTAAACCTATATCTAACTACACTGGTCACTGATATGCCTGAAAACAAACAGGAAAACTGTATAACTAACAATGTCTTTGGGCCACAGATAAAGGTGCTGTTCATAGGAATTCTGAAGGAAAGGGACAAAAATTTAAGATTCTGTTCCTTAGAATTACCATAAGTCAAAACAAATACTTAATTACATTTCTATTCCTCAGAATTTTATCTTACAACATAGAGAGAGTCAAATATTCAAGTGGGTCTTGGTGTCCTCAGAAATTTGCAGGCTTTGTTGCCTTTGCTTGAAGCTAACCCAACTCTGTTCTCATCCACTTTTGTAAACTATAATAAATTTTCAAGAAATCTATCTGCTGATATGTTTATAGGTTGTACTGGTTAGCTATATTCTATTTGGTTTGGGGATGTATTATATGATTTCGCATTCCCAATTTATATTTTGAATATTTTTATCATACAATATAATTGCTATCTTAATACGATAGTTAAAAATTTTGTTTATCTATATTAAATAAAAAAATTAATTAAACCAAATTACTGCCAAAATTTTTTTGGATTTACTTGAGGTATCAGCTCTTAGCAAATAGGAAGAATCTGACATCAGAGACAAGAAGTTTTATGGAAAAAAAAAAAAAAAAAAAAAAAAAAAAAAAAAAAAAAAGTAGTCAAAGAAATAAAATTAAAAAATTTAAACAAATATTTTGCCTCAATGTCTTATTTCACTGCATAATTTTCACTGAGTAAAATGGCTAGTTAAAATTTAGATCAGAATAAAAGAAATTACATGTAATGCGATTCAGTAAGCTTAGGTGCCAAGCAGAAAAAATAATAATTTCATAATATTTATTATTATAAATTATTTAGACAAATATTTTACAATACTAAAAAAATAATATTTACAATATTAAAAAAAATAAAATTATACCTTGCTTTAGATTGAACAGTATTTTTTTGATTTTTTTCCATACCAAATGAAAATTTCTTCCCAGCATCAAGTAAAATACATATCGAGGATCTAAGAACTGTAATTTACAGGAACTAAAAACAGAAGTAAAACAAAATAATCAATATATAAAAAATAATTTTAAAAATATTTTTACTATATTAAACTTCAAGTGAAAATTTATTGAATTCTCATTTTACCGATTCTATGTGTAGTATTCTGTTGTTGGTTTCCAATCTGTACAATCTTGATATATACTCCTACAAATTAACAAAGAAGAAAACAAATTGTACAAAGAAGTGAGTACAGGATTTCCTTTATATGTAAAAAGTAAGATGATAAAAGAAACTTACCACTTCCTCTATAGTGAAAAAACCACTAGCAGTTCTTCCTCCTTCAATATACACTATTTCTGATTCAAATAAGTCTAAGAACTCATCACTTTCTTCACCTTGCTCTTCACGGATAGTACGGCATTGGGCTCCCAAAAAATTTCTTAAATTGACAGCATGAATAGCAGCACAAGCCTTTTTGTCTAGCTGATAGAAAGAACCAGGTATTAATACCATAAAATTATCAATAATCTACTTTATAATAATGCAGCTAATACTTACAGTTGCTTGTGATCCTATCCAATAAAATATTTGCCAATCTAAACTTTGATTTTCATCAATCATAGTTTTGAGAATTATGTAACAATCTCCTTCATAAAATTTTCCAATAAGAGCTAAAATTATAAATCAGAATGTTAGTTCCTAAACTCTGACGTTGAACTTCATTAATAATTTAAAATAAAAAAATAAATAAAATGAAATAAAAATACCTTCATCAATTTGATTTGGAAGAAAATTTTCTATTTCCCAGCAAGATAAACCTAAAGTGAAAAAGAAAAATTATTTTAGATATCTTATTTTAATAAAATAATGAATGATAACTTTACCTATGCTAGTTAAGAATTACAAATTAAAATTAAAAATGCAATTTTTAGAAATGGGCAACTTTTTCTTGACTTCTTAAATCCTTTAACTGAAAGAGCAATATATCTTAGCAAACTTCAACCCAGATAACTTAAAAGAACTTTCACATACAGTTTAATGCTGTTGTAAGTAAAATAATATGGAAATAAAATGTACAGTATTAAAATACGACTTTAATAATTATAATGCAAAATTCGTTAACAGCAGTGCTTCGAACAAATTTAACCATCATACACAGATATACTTGAAATCATAATAATAATTAAGCTATGAACAGAATTTTAAAAAAATCCATGAATATATAATAATGCTATAATTAATATACTGTTGCCTGTGTATGGGTTTGTAATAGACTGGATGCATACAACTCTGATGATAGGTTGATAAAAATTATTTTATCGAAAGAAACACTTCTCAGTTATGGAACATTCCACAATAATAATAATACAACTCATCACAGAGTACAATCAATAAATACACTTAAAACTACTTAGAACGTTAAACACAACGCAATACAAAGTGTCCCTGAAGAGCAAAAGTATCCTGGAAATACTTAAGTTCTAAAAACGTATGCAGAACTAAACAGCAAACAAGAACTGAGAGCAGATGCTCTTTCTGGTCATACATAATTTTCACTCGGCCACCGAGATATTTCTAGTACTTTCTGCTTCTTGAAATTAATGGAAGGCATATGAGGGCCAAATTACAGTTACAGCTACATACAGCATTAATTACAGATATTCAGTTACAAATACATATTATGCTGAGACACAGACTACATGAAAATGCAGTGACAAAAAATAGTTGCCAAAACCATTATCAGGTTGGCAATATCTCGTTAAATAAGTGATAGCCATTTACTCAATGCTACATAGACTTGCCCCTGTATTCTTACTTTTCTAGCATAGCAGCATCACTAAGTTTTCATGTTACATTTTACAGAAAATTACAATTTCACATATAATGCACTAAAATCCTCTAACTATGCTCAAAATTCGCAACACTGCCCCATCCCAAAGACTACATGTCCCGAGCAGCATAATCCCCGGACAGGAAGCCATACTTACAGCTAAGGCAAAACAATGCAATACTTAAAACAACAGCTGCAATAAATGACATAAAACAAATCAGATGCTAAAATACCATACATGCTGATGTAATGTCCGCACTTTTTACTAAAATTACATCACTAAAATGCAGGTGCGGACATTACACGGGTAGTTCAAATGTCATGCTTTTTCTCGTGAGTAATTTTGGGTGTAAATTTCATTTCAAACAGCGAAATTAAGTTCTAAGTGGAAGAAAATGGCATAAGTAATAAAAGTATCAAATTTAAAGTTATAAATTTAAAATTTACAAATTATTTAATTTAAAATTTACAAACTCACTTTCTCCCATCCACATATATAATATAAATTGCCCCATTTACGTTACCAACACTCGGCGTGTATTATTTCGCACAGGAGCACAAATTAACCAACACTTGAAATTCTGATATTTACTTTTACACAAATTAAATAGTTGCTGGTTCTTTTAATATTTTGGACACGTTATTAAAAAAACTGTTCTGCCGCACTGCATGAAAATCCATTTCATTCCATCATTCGCCGCAACCAGAATTCACTCGCTTTGAACTGAGATGTAGGAAAGTCTTCTTCTCGTGCCACAGCAAGCGCTCTTATTTGGCTCATTTCCTGTGATACTGTGCACTCTTGAGCATGTATATCATGAACATGTGCAACTACTTTTGTCCTAAGTTTGCAAACTTGCATTTTGAACCACGAAACACGTCTTGTTTTGTTCATTGCCACCAGTTGATCACACTGTTTGCTCCAGTTGTGCATACACTTTTCATCCACTTTATATACCCTTGCTGCTGCTCTTTTTCCCTTTCTCAGCGTAAATTCTATGACTTTCAGTTTAAAAACCGCTTATTTTCCCATTTCAAACACACTCCTTGCTAACTACCATGAATTCGAAATGATACTATGAATGAAAAGAGAAAGTTTGAAATATGTGAATACTCCAAGGAGGAAGGAGGAGGAAGTAATTTCATTACAAAATAGTATTTCCTGGAAGCCAATGTGGTGAAAACCTGTTTGGACTGCCTTCATTTATTATCGAGTCTGCCGAGTGGATAGCTGGCGCCAATGTTATGATTGAATAACAGCTGCAACAAGTATAACAGCTGTAAGTCTCTGCTTTCCATCCTGGCACCAACCAAACACAAAACAAATACACATCCTTTCTTTAAAGATGTTTATTGACTAAGAACAAAAGGTGATGATAAAAAATATACAGTACAAAGTCTTTAATCCGGAATGATCTATAATCTGGACCTCAAAGCTACAAACTTTCTGCGCATGCACATAATACCTTTACACATGCACATTTAATGTATAACAGACAGTATAACCTAGGCTAAAATTATCTAATTATTTATTTCAGTTAATGTGGAGTGCGTTGTTCCTTAACTTTAATTGGATCCGGCCTTTTTTTGCGACTGTTAGCAATTTTATAAAAGTAAGCTTGAACTTTTGATTATGTCAAAAAGAGTTTCCGATTCTGGAGTGCCAAAGGATCTACAGAGCGAAAGCGTGTTTCGATGTCCATCAACAAAAAGTAGAATTGCTGCAAAAAATGGATAAAGGCATGAAGAAAGTGAGAGAGTTATGAAAACGAAAAAATTTTCGATTGGCAAGCTAGTGGTATCTCGGCACAGCAATTACAGGACTTGAACAGCGGAACTTTGTACTGAACAAAATTATGTCTGTTTTATAGAATTAAAGAGAAAGTATAGCACATAAATCAAAGCAACTTAAACAACTAACATTGAAAGAAATGTTTAATAAAGTAGAGAAATAAATATTAAGCTTTTTTTTCCCTGTAAATTTTAATACCCTTTAGATCATAATTGCTCTTTATTTCATAAATTACGGTTTCATATTTTTCATTTTATAACTTCTGCATGCCATCTTACCAGATTTAAATTGATGACCTATAATCCAGAGAAACCTCTAATACGGAATCATTGAAATCCCGACGAGCCCGGAAGACTTCGTACTGTATAAATTTTAAAGTAAGAAATTCTCTAGTTTTTGAGAAGTGGGGTCACTTTTTTTTTTACATAAATTTTATCTGTAAAGTTGGGGTGCAGACATTACATGAGTGTATACGGTAAATGAATTTTTATGGTTTTTAAGGACAGTTCAATTAAACTTCTCTACCATGCCATCTGACTGGGGACGTAAAGGTGTTGTTTGTGTTTTGTCAATGCTGAGTAGCTTGCAGAGTTTTGCCCTTGATCAGCATGTAACTGAAGAGGCACTCCAAACCTGGAAATACAATGCTGTAGAATTACCTCTCTACTTTAACAGCCTCTTGATCAAAAATAGGATATGCCTCAGGCCACTTGGTGAAGACAAGTAGTTCCATGGCAGAGGTCCCAGGATGTCAAAGATGATATGTTCGAAATATTTCTTACATTGTAACACTGCAGCTTCCCTTGGCTGCATTTCTTCTGTCCTTTTTCGATCAGCTGATGTTGAAGCTGTAACTTATCGTGCAACTGGACTAAAGAGCTCGTATTTTTTTCAACCGTGGAGCAATAGCGGCAGCTTTCTGGACACAGCATCCATTTCCATATGACAAATAAGCCCCGTTCACATGCAACGCTCCTTCGCACAGCTGCCGTTAGCAACAGGAGAAAAGGGGATATGAAAGAGTTTCGTCTTTAGGAAACGTTCAGAAGACCACTGTCTTCCTTCCCTTTACACCTAAGCCTCTGTGAACAATCACATCTCCGAATTGGTAGATTTTTTAATACTCTTTACACATTTTTAACGTTGTTTACTGTTGTTAATTTTGTAATCTGTACTTTTGCAACTGGTACCTGAACTTTCGTAATGGTTCCTGAAAAATATATGCTTTTTAATTATTATTATTAATATTTTATAAGCTGTTATTTAGTTCACTCTTGGAGCTTGTCGCTATGATGAATAAAGATGGTCATGGATGATGGTCAATAAAGATGGTCATATGCTAAAAGATGGTCATGGAGTTTTAAACTGCTTCATGATAAGATATAGAATTCAAACTTTGTACATACACTGCTTGTGGATGTGGTATCACGCTTTTGATTTTTAGAGGATTCGATTTTTTTCAAATTTAAAGTTGAAATGATTTTTTGCAAATAATAACAAATAAACTGAGAATCTCAGAATATTATAGTTTGCACCATAACACACTGGGGAGGAAAAAAAACAGTGTAATTTTTTTAAAAAATATTTTTGGAGAATTTTTGAAACTCGTTCATATTTTTAGACTTTTTGACGCTCATTAATTTTAAAATTTCATATCTAAAAATATATCAGTTAGAAACTTCCGACATTTTCACAGATTATATAACAAACTTTTCACATTTAAAAAAAATATACAGGAAATTAATTGGATGATTTTTTTACTTTTTGAAAGATATGCAATGAAGCAGAATGGGAAATATTGGTTCTCCTTGGGCATCAATTCGAAACATCGGTTTCAAAGTAATAATCTCATTACACCACACTATTTTGATGACATTATTTATGCTATATAAGTTGTTATTGTTGCCAGTTGTTAGTTCAGCATGAGATTGGAGATATTTCTGAGTTAACTTTCGCTTAAGATGTGTTTTGTATTCTGTTGTGTTTAACATTCTTATTAGATTGAAGCATAACTATTGATTATACTTAGTGATATTCTAAACACTTGTACGAGTATTTCTGTGAAAAATTCCAGAACTTTGAAGTGTTTCTGTTGATAAAATAAATTTAATTAAGCTATCATCGGATTTGAGTGAAATGACAATCATTTACGAACTAATATCAATCTATTACAAACCCGTACGCACACAACAATA